GACAGTGATTATGATTTGGAGGACTTTAGTGATGAGGAGGATGAGGATGTGGACGATGAAGGAGTGGTTATGCCGTTTGAACAGATGAGGAAATGGCTGAAGAATAAGCCTCGGGGTTTTGGTGTAGGTAAGGAATATGACACTTCTATTGAGGATAAGCTGCTTGATGAAATACGCAAGAGCAGAGAAGCACAAGCCGCTAATCTGAATAAGCTTAAGAACAATCCCACCATGCCTGGCGTCAAAAAAGATGAAGAGAAGAAAGGTTAGCTTCTGAATTGCCCTTGCGTAACTCAGATATTTTACTCACCTAGTTATGCCTAATGGGGCTTTCAGTATGATATTTATGATGGGATTATCTTCAGATTATGCTTCTTTAAGTGGTTGCTTGAGTAAGCAAATGGTATCCATTTTGCAGTAGTTGGTGGTTTTGTGTAGTTTTTAAGCTGGATATGTATGCTTGATTGAGCATCGCGCCATGTCTTGTGGAGATTGAGAGCATCCCAAATTTTAGAAACGATAGGATTTTCTTCCTTGTATCTTTGTCATCATCTCCTTGGTCTATCTTACCTTGGGGCAATGCTAATCTGCAAGGTTGTTGATTGTGAAGATTTACTGTTTATATTTTCTCAACATGTTAAAACATCCTCCGTGCTATATTCATGGGATGGAACTTTTGCAGCCCAGGAGGTTAAAAGTGGAGCTCAAGTGCGCTTGGTGAGCTTGCCAAAGAAGAGGAACATCCATAGGGATCTTAAATTTGCTTTCCAAGGGATTCCTGGCATAGTTGATATAGTCCCAGCTGTTTCTGGTAACAAGAAGACCAGGGACCCTGTTTGCAAGGGCTTTGCATTTGTTTATTTCAAGTGCGAAGAGGATGCTGCTAGGTGTGTTCTAACTTCTAACCCCAATCTCAATCCCTTTCTAAATCATGACTTGCATCTGGTTCGTTCCAAGTGCTCTAACCCCTCGATGTTGTTGGGCTTTTCAATAAAGTCACTACATATGCATGCTTTTTTCAAGTCGGCAGCATGTCACAGATTGTTTCAAAAATGCTTTTCGTACGTCATAATTTGATTAATTAATTCAATAGAGACGCTTCTGAAAAAAATGCATCGTAAAATTTTTTTCCCGTCTTCCAAATCTGATAGATGTACAGCATCACATCTTCCTATGGAGTAATAAAGCATGATAACGGCCTCTTTCTGAATTTTTGTTGAATAGGGTTCTTTTTTATTTTTATTTTTAATTGATTATATTGCAACTTGATATGTCTCATACAGACCATTGCAATAATTTCTGGGAGATGAATATTTGAATGTGTTGATCTAGCTTTTGTCTAGAACCCTCTTCAAAACAAAGGGTTCGGGACCCTTCTGCTTACAATGTTCCCAGAAAGGCATTCTTCTCTCTGAAAATATGTGAATTTTGTCAAAGATGGTTCTCTTATACTGGATAATTAATTCAAGCTTCTCCATGTCATTTTACATCGCTAGAGTGACTAAGAGTTGTATTTACATGGGGATCTATCTGGCATTTAATTATTGCACACCACTGTTATTGTTCAAAATGACTCAATTTGTTCTCGCTGCACCTGTATCTTACAAAATCCAATCCTCGTCCTCTTCACAGGTTTGTGCAACTGTACTCTGGGCAAACTGTTAGCTTTGGTAAAATTCAAAAGCGGATAAAGTGTGAGCTTCTGAATGAAATGTCTCCAGTGTCTGCTAGTCTGGAATCAAGCCAAGATCATACTAATGCAGCTACACCACAGCTCATAGTGCCAGCCATAGAAGAAAGCTCAAATGAGGATTCCAATATGGATAATTCTGCATCCAGTTCTTGGGATGAGACTGCTTCTAGCTCCGATGAATTGGATGCCAAATCCAAAACAGAGCGGGTTGAAGAGAATGAAGACTATGCAGCAACTCTGAATGCAGATGATGCTGATGATGGTGTGGAACTACAGATTGACTCTGAAATTGATTCACCGTCCTTGGAGCAGAAGTCACCCGCCAAACCTAAACGAGCGAATGCTGCTAAGAAAAAGCCACCTTCCAAGGAGAAAGTTAAGAAGGTTCCTAAGTTAGAGGTTTTGGGATCTGCAAAGAGGTGATGAACACCCCTGTGAATTATAGAATGCATGTGACATGATATTTATGTTTACTGATCATGTTCATCCTGTTAATCTGATTTCAGGTTAAAGATAAAGGAGAAGGCAGTTTTAAGTGACGTTTTCTCCAAATACGGATCAAAAGCTGCTTTTGCTTCAAAGGATGGTTGAGGGGAACTAATTGCCATGGCCAAATACTGCTGGGACTAGATCATCACCTGAAGTGTGGACTGTATAAAGAAACAAATTTGAATGATGAATGAGGGATGGAATAGTCTCCTTAGTTCCACGTTGTAACTCTATGTATTAGATCTTATTTCAATCAAAATTTACTAAATATCATGGCAAAAAATTGTAAATTTAAGCTCAATTCCATTTATTCTGAAATTTTATGAGCTTGTTGCCATTTCGTAAGATTATTATATTTTTTTGGTGAGGCACAATAAGTGATTTCACCGGCAACAACAGCTAATCTCTCTGGCAGTAAAGACTAATCTCTCATCGTGAGGGCCGAAGAGTAGATTCCTCCCAATACAAAAGTAACTTTGTCTACTCACCTACGTTAATTTTTAAATATAATATAATATAATAGAAAAATATGCCAATATTTTTTTTTTTTTAATCCCATTCATAACTTGATTCTGAACTAAAGTGAGACCAGGTCAAGTTTGTTTGATTTCAACGCAAATTACATAAAATGATGCTTGAAGAACAAGTAGACAAATTTATTTTATACTAAACTGACTAATATATCAATATGCTTAATATATAATGTAAAATCTTTTGAAAGTTAAATTATTCACAAGCTATTAATAGTTCCTTTGTTCTTAACTGGCACACAACGTTAGTTCTTTTCTTTTTTTCCTTTTTTCCGCATGCTCTCTCTACACGATGTCTGTTGCGTAGTCATGGAGAATCTGCTCCTATGGTTGCACATGCTTTTTCACATGGGATGGGATTATTAGGTTGGTTCCTTCAACCCCATCCATTATCTCCTGTTGCATTACTCGGGTTTCCTCACTCTTCAGGCACGCGGCGACATCCGTCACTTATGTGTTTTGTAGCTTTGATTTACGGTTAAGGTTTGTGATGGTGGTGTAGTTAGGTCTAAGTTGGTACTGCTAGAGTTTTGACTTTTTTTTGGTTTTGTTGGGTTTTTTTTGGACCTTTCTAATGTTGATATTTAGTTTACTTTTTTTTTTAGCTAAAGAATAAATATCATTTTATTGGAGGCAATTATATTTGAGGATCCTATTTAGTTTACTTTAATAAAATGCAATTGCTCAGAAAAAAGATAGGATAATCAATTATGGGCCATAATATTTGTAATTCATATGTGATAATTGATAATAAAATTTATATTGCATTTTTTTTTGGCAAAAGTATTATATGGTTGGTATAAATATTGATGTTGGGGAAAAAAAATAAATATTGATGTAGTAATTTTGGGCTTACGGATCTTGCCTACGGAGACCGAACAGGCCCATGTTTTCGACCAAACAAATGCATGTATTGCCGAGAGTCCACCGTTAGAGAAGCTCCCTTGCTGCTGCTAGCTTCACTGGAAGCAAGCAATTGGTATGAAACTAATTTTTTCACGTGCTGCTAATTTTCAATGCGCCTAGGCTATGGTTTATGTTCTACTCCATTTTCTCGGCAACCAACAGAATCCCCGTGATGGGGCTGGAATTGGTATGAAACTAATCGTTGCTGACAGCAGGAAGACGACGGAAAGAGTGGGGAGCTTAAGAAAGGGGCAGGGATGAAGCAAGGAGTGGGAGCGGGCGGGACTTGGGGTCGAGGTGGAGGGTGGGGCGAGAAGAAGAGAAGAGGGTGTGGGAAATGGGCTGTGTGTGAGCCGCCGAAAAGAGACTGGATAGAGTTTTGGCGCTGAAAATAAAAATTTAATTTTAAAAGACTAAATTAATTGAGGGGTCAATTGGGCTTTGGGCTTATGGATTAGCTTCTTCGGGTGGGGTTGGGCTTTAACTTAAGTAATGAGATATGAAATTATGAAAGCTGAGTTATGAACTTATAAGAATTGAATATTGATAAATTTAAGTATATATAAATTATTAAATGGTGTTGTTGTGCTCTGTATACAGTTTAAGTGTATAATTTTTATAATTTTAAAAATTATAAAACTTAAATCAATAACTTAAACCTAGCTTTCATATACCTTCATAAAAAATTACTCATATTTAAGATTTGATTACAAATCCTATTGGGTGCAATACTAAAATGTGCGCGTATTTTATGTAACTGTCCAGCTCATCATTGAGCACTTTGTTTAACTAATAGGAGTTTGTAACTTCTTAATTAAAAGTGTGGGTCCAGATCCCAAAAATATAATCATGTTAAATACCAACCTGACAGGACTAGTTCGCACATTAAGGAGTAAGGACAAAAGGGTAATATATGCTTTGAACGCTGGCTACGCTGGACTAATTTAAAAAACAAAAAGAAAAAAAAAGAAAGAAAGAAAAACAAGAAAAAGTACAGGGAAAATATCGTTTAAGGACCACAGCACACAATTAATCTCAAACTACCTCTAAAACTTTCTGAAATCTCACTGCAGGACCAATGGGCCAATTTGATATTAATTCCACAAATAAAATGACGTTGTTGCCCCTCAGTAAACTTCCCCTGAAATTTGAAAATAAGGGCCAAAATATGATGGTCAGATAGTCCTCCCCCCCTCTCTCTCTATGTGAAGGTGATCCCACTATGCGAAAACTCTTCCCTCTCCTGCTCTGCGAACGTGCAACCACTCTGGAAAAACTGTTGCCTCTCCCGATATGCCAATGTGCTACCACTCTGTGAAAAATTTTCTGTCTCCCGCTTGCAAACGTGCTACCACTGTGGGAAGATTCTTGCCTTTTCCAATATGCCAAAAGTGTTGGATGTGCCCCCAAAAATTGCGTCACCCTCATTCTACGGTTTGGTGGTAGTCACTACAACCAGAAGGAGAACAAGACGAGGTGGACAAAGGAGGAAACCTGCAAGGCTATCGACAAAGAAGGAAGAAGCAGGTGAGAAGAAGTCACTAATTTCCTTTGGTAAGCTTTGCGGTCCACATTAAATGCAGTAGATATGTTCGATTCTGTTTTCATAGTAGATTAAGGAAGAATGACCCACTAAAAGGTAGGTGTGTTTGGTAATGACATTTGGGTTCTAACTAAGGAATGGTTACCAATGTGTGACATAGTGTTCGACCGTAACCCTTTTTGCCCTTTATCAAATCCTCTTGATTTAGTGAGAGAAGGCTTGTGAGTGTAGCGTTAAGAGTTTGTTTGGGGGTTAAGTATGAAATTGACGATGAAGGAAAAAATTAGTATTGGTAGTTAACTGTATTGCTATAGTGTTTGTAGGCATTTTGCAGGAATTAAAAAAAGAATTGGGAGGGGCAATTGTTGTGGTATGGATTAAGCAAATGAGTTTGTTTTCTTTGGTTTATCCTGGTTATTATTGGAATGTGACATTTAGTGGGTTAACAATGATAGTTAGTCAATTGACGTGAAGAATTAGTTGAATAACCACTTGCATGTAAGAACGTCATATTTGTTGGAATATGTGAAGTTAGGCAATTTACATGAAGGATCAGTAAATTACCTACCATATTTGTTGGAATATGATCTGTAGTGGTCTCACAAGGGAAATTAGGCAATTGACAAGAGGGATTAGGGGGGTTATTTACTTAGTTGTTGTGTAATGGTTTCATGTTTGGTGGAAGCTGTTAAGTTAGGCAATTTACATGAAGAGTCAGTAAATTACCCACTATGTTTGTGGGAATATGGTCTGCAGTGGCCTGACAGGAAAACTTAGGCAATTGACACGCACAATTAGGGGACTATCCACTTAACTGATAGGTAACGATTTCATGTTTTCTCCATGTTAAGTTAGGCAATTTACATGAAGAGTAAGTAAATTAACCATGTGCATTATAGAAATTCATGTTTGTTGGAAACTGATCTATCATGGCCTCAAAAAGACGATTAGGCAATTGACACGAGGAATTAGGGGATTATCCATTTAGCTGGTGTGTAACGGTTTCCTGTTTGCTAGAACCTATCAAGTTAGGCAATTTACATGAAAAGTTAGTAAATAACCATTCCAGCCCACAACCCAATTTACTTTTCATTTCGGCCTACCCAACTTCTTTCAACAGGGCATTATACTCAATGTGCACCCACTTTTCAAAAATCACAAACACCACATCTTTAACAACTTAAAACATCATGAGCATAAATTTTTTAAAACCAAAAACATTGTCAGATTTGTAAGTCACTCCCAACCTACATACCCATTCACTAAAATACTCATTTCTTCTTTATTCACTCATCACAACGCACCTGTGCTCACCAAATCACATGAACAAAATCAAAATTTTGAAAACAAAAACTTACCTCCCACACTAAGCTGATGCCACTTCCAGAGAAGACGCAACACCATAGGGCAGACTTGCGATTTCTCTCTCTTTCACCAACTCTAGCTTCAACTTTGACAGATAGTAGTAGGACGGACTTCAAAAGTGAAGCTCTGCCATTGTGTTTTCTCAGCTCATGATTGTCAGCTATCTCCCTTCATCACTGGTGCGCTGCATGGGAGACTTAGGAAATGACGTCAACTCCCCCTTTTTCATCTTTCTTCTCTCTTTTACACAGCAGACAATATGTCTCATTTTTAGAGGGAAATGAGTATTTACCAAGGTCAGTGGCGTCATTTCATTTCCGGAATTAATATCAGATTGGCCCTTTGGTCCTGCAGTGAGGTTTTAGAAAGTTTTGGGGGCACTTTGAGATTAATTATCTACTGCGGTCCTTAAACGAAATTTTCCCAAAAGTATAAGTGACTATTTTGAAATAATTTGATACTTTTCAGTTCAAAGAATGTCCATATCTTTTTTAAATGATCTTGCTATGAGATTATTGTCGTTTTGTGCAGTCCATATAAATAAAAAGTTACTATTAAATAATAATAAATTATAGCAATAGGATTAAGTTGTTCGGAGCTCAATATTTCTTAAATAATATTGATTGTTCGAATCTTACGGAAGCCAAAAAAAAAAAAATCACGGCAGGAGAGCTTGTTTGTTTGAGTCTAACATCACTTGAATCCGATTATTGGATGTAACAATAAATTATTAAAAATTTAAATTATCGTCACATGTAACATATTTGATTAATATATTCCTATATATATTAAATATTTTTATTTCTGAAACTCATGAAATTTTTCTTGGTGGAAAGCACATATAGTTCTTGGCCCCAGAGAAAGAAATAATAAAACAATGCAAAAATAAGTAATATGTCTGTGAAATTTCTAAAATGATGAATATTTTGAAAAATCAAAAAAACTCCATACTAACTCATTTTTAAAAGAAAAAAATTAATCTAATACTTGCAAATTTTACATGCTTTCGTTTAAAATTAGTATGAGGTGTATATAATACTAGACGAAGTCGAACAAATCACAGTGAAGCACTATTTATTGCTTTTGACTAATGCAACGTATTATAATTTTTATTATATTTAGATTAGATATCAAATTAGATTAAGAAAATATGTTATATTGCTCGTTACTTATAATTAAATAGCACGGCTTTATTGATATTGAGTTAATGCATCCGAAATATGACAAGTTCAGGGAGAACTTTTTTCGGTATAATGGCTCCACGATGTTAAAGTAATTGGTTACCTGCCATTTTACTTCTCTCAAAAATGTGTTTGTATTCTGATTTCATGTGAGTGCTTTTTCACACAATACACTTGAAAGGAAACTTGTCGCACTTTAGTTTTTGAGTTTTAATCAAAATTGCCTAAAGAGGAAATTCATGCATGCTCTTTCTTGCCCAATGTGCTATAAGATATGTTAATGGGATTTTTTTAATTTCATGCTGACAAGTCAAAGATGAAGCATTACTGCACAAACACAAACATAAGACCCTTTTTGTAGTGTAAATTACATTACAAAATAGGTCTTATATTTAGAACCAAAAGAGTAATTCTCCCATTGTACTACAAAAATATTATTTATTCTTTCACTGTCTAATGTGATATAAATTTTGTCTTATATCAGGTCATGCTTGGGCCGGGGAATTTTTCTATGGCTTCAAACGCTTCCTCTTTCCAAACATATTGCCACCAAAATGATATATATTGACTATAATAAGAATTAGGATAGTTGACTATTATGTGTTGATAGGTAAGATGTATTAAGACGAAATATTTGTACGAGTAGTAATAAGCATAGACTTTTTGACCCAAAAAAAAATAATATGCATAGACTAATATTGAAATAGTAAGAGATCATAGTAAGTTGTATGCCTTTTTTTTTAGCCGGGAGAAATAGCCAATACGGTGAGGAATGCTTTGCAGTAACAGTGGAGTCGTAAACTTCAGAAAGCGAACCCATAATGCTGTACAGAGGAGAATGCTTGCAAATGGAGACAGGAGATTAAATTTTTTGCTTTTTGTTCATGTTAATCTTCAAGTAGGACGATGCATAAATGTGTTGTGCATTATGTGATTATTAATATTAATTGCATTAGTTTGAAATATTAAGATGTTATAGAAAATGTGGCAATTAATTTATTCTATCAATTATCCCTCAGCCTGAACCATCATTTAGTCCAAATGTAATAAGTGGTCACATGAGAAGATTAGGCGCAGAGGAGTTCATTGGGAGCTTCAGAATGGCCATGGGTCAAAAATAAGCCGACGTGGAAGAGCAACCATTAGCGTGCGTATGAACAAACTATTAATATTAATTCGTGCAATCCCCTGGGAACTCAAAAGGTACCTCATATTTTGTCATCATGTGAGGATAGGACAAATCTTAGCAGGGAAAATGACAACCCATGCAGGCTTTACTACAAAAGACGTCAAACAGTCAATGTGGTTCAGGTCAGATTTTTTTTGTTTAAGGTGAGTAACCCTCTCCATAGGGATTTGTTTTGTTGAATACACGCAGGATAATGCCTTTGCCTGGGACAAGAATTGTTGACCTCGGAGATATCTTCTCACTGACGAATGGTACTCTATCACAACTTTGTCTTCTTAATTAAACTCCTCTTTCTTTCCCATCTTCTTTCCCCCTCCTTTTTTTTTTCAACCGTTAGATTAACATATTTTAATGGTTTAGATTTTAATTTTTTATAAACTATTTATAAAAAATTTTAAAAATATTTAGTACACTTGCAAATCATTAAAATTAAATTTTAATATAGTTTATAATTTATAATTTATTTATTTTATAATTTAATATTTTAATAATAATTTTAAAAAGATTTAAATATGAACCGTTAAAATGTTAGTCTAACGGTTAAAAAAGAAAGAGAAAGAAAGAGGATGAGAAAGAAAGAGGAGAGGTGTATAACCGCTGGGATCAATGCGGACCAAACGCGTGTTATTAATTTTGTTGCATGATAAGCATCACGTCTCTCTACTCGATGCATGCCAAACCAGCAGGCAAACAAAATATGTGAACCATTCGGGTAATCTTAGTCGTTCATTGATTATGCTGAATGGGTTGCATCATATATGAAGACATGTTTCAGTCCAAAAAAAAAGAAAATGTGAAGACATGTTAATGTGCAGACAAGATTAATTAATTTCAATTTTGCGGCATGATAAGGTTTAGGTTTTCCATGGTCATATGATGATTTTAATGTCTTCTGCCAAAAGAATTAACCATACCCGAGGAGCCTGAAGATAGACCTTCTCCAGATTCTTTCCTGTCCTAGGTATAAAACCAACACCTCTCCGATAAGGTCACAAGCCCCAGAGTGCACGAAGTCGTTAGTGTTTCATCGTTTCCATTGGCCAAGCACCACCCCCCCCCCCCCCAAAAAAAAGTTATCAGAATTGGCGCACGTACCTTTCCCTGATCCCCTCATCTCCTCAAAAAAGCGTTGACCCTCGGCTAATACCTCTTCCCTCTAATAAATGATTCGCCTTTTTCAAAGTAGTCGTGTGGCCTTTTCTTTAACTTTTGCAATTGATGAATTGAAAATTCCCTCCATATGCATATC